CAAATGGAGTGTAAAAAAGTGCTGATCAGCCTGATCCCGATTGTCGCGGCTGATACATTTCCATCAGCTGACAGCTGATAGCTAATCCAACATTTTGGGGATCATGTCTGGTGACCAGTTCGATATTACTTCCCAACGAACTTCTCCTAGTTCTTTCTCTTTCCTTTCTCCAATTTTCTGCCTCGCGACACCTGTATCGATTTAGTGGGTCTTCTTCGTCTCTCCTTCATTTGTTTGTCTGTGCCTTACCCGAGGACATCAAACAAATGCACATACCGGTACATGTCCGGGCCAAGATCTTGTTTTACCGGAGACTCTAATGTCTTCGCGTCGGTCATCATCCACGGTACTCGTTATCCACCGGCCGTTGTCCGTTACTTCTTTATCCTACGAAATACCAGGGGTTACTTGTCCTAATACCGTAAACGCATACAAAAACTTTGGTTTCGTTCACTCTTCGTAAATTTCACTCAACTTTCACGTTAGGACTTTACTAAAGTATACATCAGTTTCACCTGATCACCGTTTCTTTTCGGTGTCTTTCGGAAGCGTTTTGACATGCCTATTTTCCTTTGTGGCTCTTGTTACTATACATTTAGTCCCGTTTATACTAAACTTGGTCGAGTACCCAACTTTACATTTGTAACTTTTCGTTTTCCATAATACTTTTGGTACAGTGATGTAGTCAGTGGAACAGGTATATAATGAGACTCTTCTTCCTTATAAAATGACACGACTTTTGACCATAGTGTGCAGTAGTAAACTCCAACTGAAACACTGGACCTTGTAAGTCGACGTTGTAATCGAGCAGGCTATTCGATAACCCTACATCACTCTAGAAAAACACGGTAAGCCACCCACTTCCGTCAGACACGATAACATAACGTGACATAAGACTGGTTGTAAACGATGTCCGTCGCCGTCTTATACCGTGATAAAGTGTAACTTAAAGATTCGGAACAGATAAACCATATGGTGCTCGCACGTTTTACTGGCGGAATGGCGGTGCAGCATGTCGGCCCATGAACAATCTATCATGCGACCCGTCCGAGACAAAACGGCACTCATAGGACCGTTGGACGCCGGCGTCTCCGCGCATCAAAGCCCGCTGTTTCTGACCGACGAGCCCGCTCCCGCCGCTTCAGTCCGCCTCTTCGATCACAGCGTGTTGCACTCGCATCGGCACTTACAGGGTAGCTGGACAACATGACACGACGTCATCTCCGGTCACAACGACCGCAAATCACTACACCCAAATTGGTAAAAGCAATTACTAACTAGGTGTCTACACATCAAGTGACGACCACCTGTGAAACCTTTCACTACGGCGCGGTGGCCCGTCCAGTTGGTGCTGGGACTGTGGTAAAAACAAGAAACATGAAAAGAGCGACGGCAAGAGAAAAAACTTACATCCTCCCACGTATTGTAGTTTGACGGGGCGTTTCTGGGGCTGCCGCTTCGGAATCCATTTGTGTGGTCCAAAGAATTAGATGGACGTGCTTAAACAGACCACAGCCTTACAGAGCGATATAAATCCATGTAAAGAATCTTTTTTGTTTTGTGGCTAAATTAAAGCCCAATTTTACACCAACAATGACGAAATATATACATCTGCATCTATATAATGGAGTGT